ATATTATTACTTGAAATTTCTATATAGTGTTTTACACTTCTAGATATTTGAATTACTCACAAATTCCCACTTAATAATGAGGCAAGAAAATTTTTATGCTTCTCTAAAGTGATAAAACAATATAGCAAAGTAAACATTAAGAAAAAGGAAAACAGCATTTCCTCCTTGATTCTGAAGTTAATCCCTACCTAGAAAAGACAAAAACTGAAAAAGAAAATATAAATCATCCCAAATTTTACCCCTAGTAGACATTATTCATCTTTAACATCTTGATGACCAGTCTTCCAGGGTGTGTGTGAGAAATCTAATTATATACAGTTTTATGAGTACAGTAGTCCCTCCTTATCCACGGAGAATACGTTCCAAGACACCCAGTGGATCCCTGAAACTGCAGATAATACAGAACGCTTTATGTACTATGTTTTTTCCTATGCATACATAACCTATGATATTGTTTAATTTATAAATTAGATATGATAAGAGATTAACAACAAAAACTAAAAATAGAACAATTATAATAAAATTATGTGAATGGCTTTGGGGCTGTTAAGTAAAATAGGGTTACTTGAACACAAGCTCTATGATACTGCGACAGTTGATCTGATAACTTAGATGGCTACTAGTTGATTAATGGGTACAGTGTTGAACAAAGGGGCGATTCACGTTTTAGGCAGGACAGAGTGGAATAATGTGAAATTTCATCATGCTACTCTGACACACGATTTAAAACTTACGAATTGTTTATTTCTGGAACTTTCCAGTTAGTAATTTTGGACTTGTTGACCACAGAAAGTGAAACCACAGATAAGGGGGAACTACTCTGCATTATTGTGTGTATTATACAGTGCAGTCATTTTCTCTCAACATGTTTTTCTCAAATGATATGTATATATACATACACATAGAGATTTGTATGTAATTATGTAAGTGGGATTATACTTTACATGTTATTCTGCAGTTTTTTCACTCAACAATGGGTCATTAAGATATTTTCATGACCTTTAATACATGTATACATCATTCTTTTAATGTCTGTGTACTGCGTCTCTCTGTAGATATACTTGATTGATTCTGACCAGTCAAATGGTAGCAATGGCTCTCAATTGGGCTTTGGCTTTAGGGAGTACTTTGGGCCAGAGACTCTGTGTAACCTTCTTTTGGAGGCACCAAGAGGTGGTTGGCCATTAAGTGGCTTTTCTTGTCAGACTTGGTGACTCTTGGAATTAGTGCCAGTGGGGAAAGAGCTTCCAGTAATAGGGCTAAAGTTTCTTTATGAAGTATAGGGTTTGAGGTATGAGGTGCCAGGATTGGCCAGGGCTTTAAAGTAAAAAGGAATTAAGAGTCTTGGGATGGAATTGACAGAGAAAGTAATGGAAAAAGTTAAGAGCATCTGATTCAGGTCAGCAGAGCAAAGCAGAAAATAGAGAAGAGCCTTATCAGTTGTGGAAAGGAAGGGAAGTTTCTAAAGTCAGGCCAGCTGTGGAGATGGGCCTCGTGCAGAGGTAGGCACTGATCTCCTTGCTCTCATGGGTTGGGCATTCTTTAGTAGGCACTGCCTGAAATGTTATTTACTACATGAAATGTAAAAATAAACATATTTGTCCTTTGGTCTCATAACTTAGACAAAGTGGAATGCAGGTGGTTAGGAAGTTACTATTTAGTTTTCTTACTTCCTTTTTTCTTTTTTAAGAAAAGCATTCTCTTTGTACTTTGTGTTCTACTTCCTTAAAGAGTACTTTCACATATTTTGGCTATCAGCCAGTCATTTTTTAAAAAGACTTTTATTATGTTTTTGTTTAAGGAGTGTGTGGTCTGTCTTTACTAGAGTCAGTTAGCCAGCCTCTCTCTCCCTCTCTCCCTCCCTTTTTTCCTCCCACTTTTCATCACTAACTGAAAAAAAAAGTGCCAAGGCATTATTACTACAGAATGACCCAAATTAGAGCTTTCAGGATATAGGAAAGCCCCCTGAATGTCAAAATACATGAGTCAGAAAACCTGGGTACAGTTTTATTCTGCTAAGTGATTTCATCTTTGGAGCAAGGCTTTATCCAAAGTATGTATTTATGGAGTGATATAGAAAAAGAATAAGGTCGTGGGGGATTATTAATAATATATAGCACATAAAAAATATAGTTGTGCTAATATCACCACACTATATGCATTTTTACTCTGCTTAGTTAGGGGCTATAACAATTTTTTTTCTCTCTTGAATACATAGATGCTCTTTGTCATGAGCTTATATATTACATTAAAATAGTGAAGTATGCCTTAAAATAACCTGACTTTTATTAACTTAATTAACTTATTGAATGAAGGCACTTTTATAGATATTGGATATATAAAGATGAATAACACATGGTCCCCACCCTTAAGGAAATTATTTAGAAGAATGAGGTATAAGTATATGCTAGAAGTATATGGAAGATAACAGGCAAAAAGGAGAGTTCTACTATGGGATGTAGGGATGTCTGCTCTCTATTAGAGCAGAATATATTTGAGAGGGAGTTGTTACTATATAGATGGTAATGGGGTGGGGTTTATGGGTAGGGGGTGATCAGTTCAGTCCTAGTGCATTGTTACCAGGGCTATATAGGTCTGAGACATCATGACATTGCAAATAGCTTCATATGACTAATGTGAAGGGTGTGTATGGAGAAGTGGAAGGAGCTGATGCTAGAGAGTCAGGGGAGGTTGAACATTATCCAGAATATTTTTAAGTGGTGGACTAATATTAGTAAAATCAGGGAAAAGTTATCTGGCAAGTAGGAGGATGCAAGATTCCAAGTTAGGGAGATCAATTTGCAGCTATTTAAGTAATCCAAATGAAAGTGCCAGGTGCCCAGATTCTCAAACTAAGTGATTAAAAATCAAGATGAAAACAAGGAGAATAAAAGTGTAGAAACAATAAGACACATGGGTAAAGGAGAGGGAGGAACTTGCTTTGGAAGATTTTAGAAATGCCAGTTTCCATTTGAGGAGAAGGTGGTTTAAGAAGGAATGATGATGAGTTTGGTGTTTGAACATCTTTAGTTTGAGTTGGTAAGAGACTTCCAGAAAGATGTGTTCTGTAGGTATTTGTAGCTGGAACTCAGAATAAGAGTTTGTCATCAGGGGTTGAGAGTCATCAGGATTGAAGTCTTTGAAACTATGGGAGTAGATATGATAATCTAGGAATTCAAGAAGAAAAGTGTTGAGAACAAAGCATGAATATTTGGGGGTTGAGCCTGAAAGAAGAGCTGGTAAAGAGGGTTGAGAGGGAATGGTCTGAAAAGCATCACTGAATTTGTTGATAGAGGGCATCGGTGGTTACTGCTAGTGGGGTTTTACTGGTGTGCTAGAAGTAAAAGCCAGACTGCAGACTAATTCTGTATATTATATTGTGTTTCTGTACTGAATTACAGGTTTAAAAATTTTATTAAAATTAAATACTTAAGAGATACAGCAATTTTAGAGAATTAACCAACTCTTGTTTTCAAAAACAAAAAAGTTTTAAAAAAACTTTTATTTTAAAATAATTATAGACTCAAAGGAAGTTACAAAAGTAGTAGCAAGAGGTCTTCCTGTATAGTCTTCATTCAGCATCCTCCAGTCACTTGTTCACTTTAACAAATGTCCTGGACTAGTGCAAATGCTAATGTTTGGGATGGATTATGGAACTCTACAGGTAGTGTAAATTTTGATTCTGTACCCTCACATGGCACAAGCCTGGAGTTTTGATTCTTACAGGAGCCTCTTACCCTCTTCTGGGAGCAAGGCAGATGGCAAGCTTCTTTCTTGTTTCTCAGCTCCTTTTTCACATATTGAACAACCTTTTTGAGGACCTTGGCTCAAAATAGGGGATTTACCTGCAACTATCCTATGAAATAGGCTCAAAATCAGGTATTCTATATCTATAGGCCAGTATCCCCTGAGACTGTTTTGGTGTCAACTGGAACTTTACATCTTTGAGTTTTTTCCTTTCTGGCACCTAGAAATTTCCTTCTCCCTTTCCCTTTTTTGAATTCAGCTGTATATTCTAATTTTTCATGTTGATCTGGCATTTCAGAGAGTGCATGTGGCACAAGGATGTATTAGTCCATTCTGCCTTATTGCTTGAATCAAAAGTCTAGTAAATGATTTCTTAATTTTATTCTCCACTTTATCCACAAAAATAATTTGAGGTCAAATTATATTACTATTGTTAAAAATATTATTTATTTTTAAAGTGGATATTACATGCATATGGTATGATATTGGAAAGACAAAAAAGGGCATACATGTCTTCCTTCGCCCTGTTCCCTACCTACCCCACCCAGTGTGCCTTCACAGATACAACCAGTTATTAGTCTCTTATGTATCCTAGAAATAGACTGTGCACTAGTTTATTCTTTAACAGATATTAGTCTCTTATATATCCTAGAAATAGACTATACAGTTTTAAATTTTAAAAGTGTTTATAACTTAACTTTATAACAAATACTTAGGATTTTTCCATCTGTTCAACAAGTAGCAATTGTAGTTTTCTTCTCTCAGAGCTTTTGAGAAGGAACGTTATACTAATTATATATTACATGTATGTTTTTATATATATGAAAGGATTATCTGTTTTAATTTTTGTTTACTTCATAAACCCCTCAGAATGTGACAAAAACTGACAAAATAGTGTAAACTGTTGATTTGAATGTTTTAAGTTATGTGGAATATTAAAATAATAGAACATTAGCCTTAATTTTGGGGAGATTGTGAAAACGATATTTTAAGAAACTGGAATCTTATTGAGACACGTTGAGGATGTCCTTTAAAATTGTTCTAATTACTAATCAGTAAACACCGTCAGTTTTCATATGTGCAAATAATTGCCCAAAGCAGGAGGGGAGGGGCGGGGGAGACCATCTATTAAAGATGAAGCCCTCTTCTTTACCACTGTTTATACCATTGATTGTCTGACTACAACTTGATGAAATTCAGTGACATGGAAGCAAGAAATGGAAGCCTTTGACCTAATATGTTTTCTTCCTTAGATCAACCTCTCCACTTCTCCTACACCTGCACAGTTAATAAGCCGTTCCCAGGCTTCCAGTTCTACCAGCGGCAGTATTACCCAACAGACTATGTTACTAGGGAGTACCTCCCCTACCCTCACGGCAAGCCAAGCTCAAATGTATCTGCGAGCTCAGATGGTAAGATGTGAGCTACCAAATTTTTTCAGTGTTCAAGGACTTGAGAGAGATCAAAATGTTTCTTCATTTGATGCAATTGGAGACATTTTTCATATTTAAGAAATGTTTAACAGTTTTTTATGTGCATGTGCTTAGCCCTTGTACATTTATGTCATGAAAAATTCTACTTTTAATTAGTAGGCCTTCTTGGTGTATCAAATAGTAATTAACAACATTGGGAGCTAACATTTCTGTAACATAGTGATTATTTTTTAATAGCAAATTTCATTGATGTCAAACTTTTTTTCACATTTTAACATCTCTGAAATTGAGATGCATTTTATAATTGATGGCATCTTACAGTTATAATTGGTGATATATAAAAGCATTGTGTATCTTTGATATCTTAGATTCGATGAAATAGAAATGTTAACTTGGTTGTTAACTTTGTTCGAATTTATATTGTGGAATCTTCTGAAATCTGGATTGGAATTCCTGGTAATTTACCAGATAATTCTTAGCTTTGGTTATTTCCATCTCAAATTCCGCAAGGTGATTTGTGTTTTTGTACTCATTTTGATCTTTTATTAATATAAGAATGTTAATTTGGCTATTTTGTATTTTAGTACCTACTGATTTCCTAATTTAACTGTTCAGCTTCTTTAAGGAATGTAGAAATTGGTTGACATTTACTTTATTTGATGTCTATACAGATAGCTGGAAAAAAGCTCTGGCCCTAATATATATTTTTTTATTTTTTTGTCCGATGAACTGAATATATATATCTGGATCCCCAGATTTCAACTAATATTGCAAAGAAAGTTTCCCATCATATTTCTAACAGAAAGCAATGACATGACCCACCTTTTATTTATAGATTATTCAGTAGCTATTACCATGTTTCTGGATTTTTCACCCCCATGAAATCTTATTTAATTAATAATATGCTTTAAAATTAGGCTGAACCATTTGAAATGGTTGTAATTTGACTGTTTTTGATCCTTTGCCAGTTTCATATGATTTAAGCTAAATAGAACATCTTCTCTTTAGGTTTAGTGCTTTCAGCTATATGTTCTGGAAATTACTTTCTCCTGAAAGTTATACTTTGTTGTTTAATTCACTTAAATTTAATATATAAAAGACTGAAGTTTAAAAGATCCCGTGATTAGTAATTTTAAACAGGAATGGTTTTTGAAGAACCGATTAACTCTAGGCAATTTTGAAATAAAGTATTTACACATTCTTTGAAACAACTGTCATAATTTACTAAGTTGGGTTGGATAATCCCTGGGTAGATTGTATTGCCTTTTTAAATTAATGGTCTTCTGTTTTAGTATTGAAAAAGTCAGTTCAAAAGAGATGATTATAAGTAAATAAATCGAGTATGTCTTTCCTTCCTTTATTATTAGTTTTTTATGTGAAGCTTTTTTGCAAGCTGTTTTGTTGTTGAATTTTGACATGTTGTGGCATTTACTTTTAGAATGAATTTTTCTTTATAGGTAATTTTAAAATAAAGGGCAACCTAGGTTTGTAATGCAGATCCTATGTAATTGAGTGAAATATGATAGTGAAATAGTGGCATGGTTATCCTTTGTGATAAACAGGACTGAACAGACTTTTGGGTGTTTATTTTCATGTTTCTCAAATTTAATTTGTATTCAAGAGTCGTGGCTGTGGTTGTCTAATCCTGCCACAGTAGTTTTGAGTTGGGAGAAGTTTAAATATAATAGCTTATTTGGGGCAGAATTTGGTATGAGGATTTCATATTACCAAAATACGTATTCTTTTTTGAGCACTGATTTATTTTTCTACTCATCAGAATCATGAGCTGTTTCAAAAATGTTTGATTTCTTTTTTTTTTTTTTTTTTGAGTTCTCTATTATCAGAAACTTCTCTTTGTCATGTAAACCCTTTTGCTTAGGAGGAAGTCCTAAACTGCATTGTCTTTCTGTCACAGATTTCAGTCTCTTGCCTGCTATACATTGTGTGTGAGACATGTTCTTTTGTCTTAGGGTATTTTTTTGGTTTTTCTGTCTGTACAGCTGATTTTCACACCCGCTACCACTGTGGCTGCTGTACAGTCTGACATTCCTGTTGTCTCGTCGTCATCGTCATCTTCCTGTCAGTCTGCAGCTACTCAGGTGAGCTTGTCTAGCTTCATAATGTGGTACTTGAGGTCTGGATCTTCAGGTTAAAGATAAACATATTTTTGTGCTTAAGTTACTGATGGATTCAGTGCTCTTTGTCATACATTTCAGATTGAAATTTAATAAAATACAATAATAAGAAATTTTTTTCTATAAAAATTATAATACCATTAAACAGATACCTAGGTTATGTAACATTAGTGAAATGAGTTTTTGCTATGACATTGTATGTTTAGTTTTATTGTAAAGCAGACATATTTCTCTTAAGTGAGATGTATTCTTTTGTGTAGATTCTTTTGTAAGCAGTTATCTAACAACTAAGTCAGATGGTTTTTAAGCTTAAAAATGAATCAAATTGGGCAAATTTTAAATTAAAAAAATTGAATAGAATATTCAATGAAAAAATGAATAGAATATTGAATATAACTTTGGTACTACAGGAAAAAAGGACCTTAACTTTCTCTTCACACCATTCACAAATATAAAACTAGAAGTAGAAGGTAGACCTAAAGATAATAGCCAAAACTATAAAACCTGTAGAAGAAAACGTAGGGAATATCTTTACGACTCTAGAGTAGGCAAAGCTTTCTTAGGTCACAAAAAGCACTAACCATAAAAGAAAATAATGACAAATTGGACTTTATCAAAATTAAAAACTGTTCTTCAAAAAACATTGTTACAAAAATGAAGAGGCAAGCCACAGACTGAGGGATAATGTTTACAGTACATGTATCTGACGAATGACTTGTATTTAGAATATACAGAGTATGCTTACAACTTAATAATAAGATCATGAGCAACTCAATTAAAGATGGAGAAAAGATTTGAAGACTTAACAGAAAAAGACATACAGAAGGCCAATAAGCACATGAAAAAATGCACAGCATCATTAATCATTATAGGAATGCAAATAAAACCATAATGATATTACTGCACACTCACTAGAATGGCTGATATGAAGGAGACTGGTGAGAATGTGGGGCAACCCTCCTACATTGCTAGTGAGAATGTAAAGTGGTCCAGCCACTTTGGAAGACAGTTTATCAGTTCCTTATAAAGTTAAGCATATGCTTAACATGTGACCCAGCAGTTCCACTTGTAGATGTTTGCCATGAGACATTTGAAAACATGTATTCATGTAGATATATATCCATAAATATGCATAGCTCTGTTCAGAATAGCCCCAAACTAGAAATAACCAATGTCCTTTAACTGGTGAATGGATAAACAAATTGTGAGTTATTACTCAGAAATAAAAAAGAACAAACTACTGATGCATCTCAGAAACATTATAATTAGCAAAAGAAGCCAGACACTAAAGAGTATATATACTCTGATTCTATTTATATGAAATTCCAGAACAGGCAAAACTAAAGTGAAAAAAATCCAGTTGGTGGGCCTGGGGCAGAAGGTTGGGGAGATTGGGAAGAGGCATGAGTGAACTTTCAGTGAGATGAAAATGTTCTATATCTTGATTGGGGTGGTGGTAACCTGGTATATAGACATCAAAGCTCATCAAACTGGTTTGTTCATTTCATTATATGTAAGTTACACCTCATTAAAGTTGATAAAAATGTATTGAGTAAATTTTAATTTAAAATGACTGAGTAGAATATTACTTTGTATGAAAATAATTTGATATTTTTCCCTAGTTAATGTTTTAGACTATATATGGTAGAAATTGGTGTATCTTAGGGTCATCCTTGGCTTCTTATTTTTAATTTAGTAGTCTCAGTCTTCTGGTAAAAAGCAAAAAATGAGTAATAATAATCTTTGGTACTTTTTATAAAACCTCTTTATATATTATTTATAAAACCTCTTTATATATTATTTAATAATAAAGGCCAGTTTTCATATATCAGCACATAAAGATGGTGATCAGTTAAACTCGGGTTTCTCCTAACGAGCTCTGTGACCCTCCTTAATTCCTTCCCTTTGTTGGACTTCAGTTCCAACATATTTACAAAATGAGAACTTTGTCTTTGTTAACTTTAAGATTTTTTCAGCTCTAAACTTTTATATGTCTCTTTGTGGAATAGATTTATTGAAGTGGTGATCTTATTGTTTTGTTTCGGTTTATTAAAACCTAATAGAGCTAGATAATGATCAATTTCCAGAATATTTTAAATTTTATTTCTTATTTATACTTTGTCCCAGATAAAATTTTAATTGAGTTATAAGATACATACAATAAAAGAAGATAAATTGAAAACATGCAAGAAAAACACAAATAAAGGAAAGTGGCATGGAGCTAGGAGTGAAGTAGCTATTTAGATTACATGCATGAAGTCCTGCATGCACTTAAGTTCAACTCCCACTCTAGTCATTTACTAGTAATATATGGCTTTAGACAAGTTACCAATCATCTCTAATAGTTATACATACTCGCAGGGCCTAAGTCGAAGAATGAGTGATATGTATGTTTAGTATCTGGATCATTATAGGTACTCATTAGTACTTTTTTTCCAAGGGAGGGAATAGGGGTATCTGGGTTCATATTCTGACTTTAGCAGTAATTGCCAGCTTTGTCACTTGGTAGTTGATCGATTTTAGACAAGATCATAGTAGAGCATAGGGTTTATAACTTTGGACTCTAAAGCCAGATGTTATTTAATATGAGATACATGCTCTACCGCTTTCTCAGTGTGTATATCCTTAATCTCTTGCCTGTTTCAACAATATAAAACAAATATTTAGAAAATAATTATAATGTGTACTTCATAGGGTTATAGTAAGTATTAAATATGTTAAGTGAAAAACAACAGTGTCTGGTACATAGCTAGCACTTACTAAATGTTAGCTGTTATTGTTACCTGTGCTAAGCCTCAATTTCTTCACTGTAGAAATAATAGCTCATAGTTGTTACAGGGAATAAATGAGACAAAAATCATAAAGTACCTAGCTTAACTACCTGGCACTTAAAGATATCACATGCCATTAATTACTATTTTCGTTATACATTCTCAAAAGATGAGTCACAAATTTGGTTCTTAGCTTTGAGGTAGCTAATGGTAAAGAGAGAAATGCAGCCATTTAAAGGATTTACAGTTTCCAAGGTAAAATAAACCAGTTATTAGGAAAATACAACTAACGTGCTCTAGAGCACAGTCTATCTTGTGGATTCTTATGGAGAAAACATCTTACGATGTCTTTAATAGCATTATGAACATAGTCAAAGTAATTTATGAAAGTGACTTCAGTTTGATGTGATCCAGGTATGTGGCTCTGTGATAATCTGACCTAATTCAAGGATAAACTTTGAAGAACCAAAGGAATGGATTAACCTTTAGGAATTTTTCGACAAATGTTTTTCTCTGCTGTGCTTTCGAAATGGTAGTGAATGAGGCTGGCAGTGGTAGGTGATGCTAATACCTTCAATATTCTTGTGGTCACTTTCCTCAAGTTCATGGTTTTTATTTTTGAAAAATTTGTGCTCTAATTCGTTGATTTTAAAGCTAGTATTTTCAGTTTTTAAAAACAGTTTGTAATTGAGAAATACCAAATTCGAAGTTTTATTTTAATATTTTTAACTGATAGAAGTCAGTATAAGTTAATTTTTTCTTAGTATTAATATTTATTTATAGCATATTGTCAGAAATGAGAAAATTGGAATATCCTACCCTTATTTACTATTTTAAATCTTCCATCCCTTCTTTCCACCATGCAAAAATTTTTTTTTAGTTTTAAAAAATGTGATTTTCAAAAAGATATCATAGGACTAAAAGTATGATTATGGCAAAGTAAGATATCTTATTATCATGGCTATCTGGGAAATGTTAGAATTGAGGAGAAAACAGCCCTTTGGATTAAAAATCTAGAAACTCAGCTCTTCAGCTAGCAATGTGGAATTAATTCTTAGTTTCCTCATCTGCAAAGAAGGGATGGTACGATTATTCATGCATTATTTGTTAGATCCAAATGAAATAATTTGATCATAGGAAAAGTTAGATGAAATGAAAGTTGGACATTAGAATATCCTAATATTCTTTTTTCTTTTAAATCATGTTCCTTCTTGTATGTTTCAAAACTCATACTGAATGATGAGTTCTGGGTTGCAAAAGAGGATTTATTTTTCATATCTTTATATTCTTTATTTAGAAAGGGTGGGTTCTTTTTAAAAGTGAAGCTCTGTCAAGGAAATCTGATTATGTGATCTTTCTATTAATAGCTAAATTAATGTGTAATATACTTTAGAAGTATAGTTTACATGTTTGAAATTTGTTGCAATTGTTTAAGCCAAGATGACCATAGATATTTTAGCCATAGTCTAAAATCTGTTTATATGTAGTGTATAATATATAAAATGCACACATATACATTTTCTTTCAGAATTCCAGAAAACAAATGGAAAATTAGAAGAAAAGAGTATATTATTCTATAGGAATGAACTGCTGCAGATTTTAGGGTTCATTGTGTCAAATTTTCATTTACATTGTGAATATGCTTTTCATTTGAAGGAAAAATTTCAAATTCTCAAGTTTTTAAGATTTTAATGTATCTTAGATATTCATTGAGATTTTTTGGTTAAATGTGAACAGATTTTAATGTTAGCCTAAGAAGACCATAAATAGAACTAAATACTTACCATCCCTCCCCACCCCCCCAAAAAAAGTTCCATGTTATATTTCTGATAGAGGAGTATACCTCTCCTCTATACCTCAGACTTCTGGAGTTTCTATTATTTATGCAGCACTGAACTGTGGGGTGTACAAAAATGAATGTCAGAGATGTGAGAGCCTGCCAGCCAGAGTCTCAGCATTTCACAGACAGATATGAGTAATTCTGAAATAAGCTAGACATTTGTCAGTTCTGTAAACCGATATGATCCAGATTCTGTGAGAAAAGCATTATATAGGAGAAGAGAAATGATTTCTAACCAGAGACTTCAGGGAAGTTTCTTTGGGAGAGTGAGTAGGATTTTTACTGAGCCTTGAAAGAGCTTTGAGGAAGAGGGGCATTTTAGGCAAGGGGAACTTGAGCAGGGCTCTAAATGAAGGGAAGGCAAGGCAGTTTGGATAAGAGTGAGCAGAACATTTTGGGTAGAATATGAGAACTGTGGACTGGAGTGGTGGAAAATGGGACTTGAAGTAGTTTGGGCCTAGACTTTGGAGGGCTTTGAGTGGCAAGATGAGAAATATAGATTTTAGCATATTTTATTTTTGCATTAAATTTCAATAATACAGCAGTTTTTGGTCCACTTATATTGCTATGAAATATTTGACAAAAATCGGAGAAGATACTCTATATGGTCTCACTTAGAAAATTCTTTCAGTAGCTTAGGATAGAATTTATTAAAACCTCAAATGCTCTGAAGTAAACATTTGTTTAGTGCCTGCTATTGGCTGAACACTGCATTTAGTACTGGGAAAGAGAAAGTAAAGCCTTTGAGTATCAGTTAATGATACAGTTGTAGAGACAGAACACACATGAAACTAAAGAATATTGATAAAGTCCCAATCTATCATTTGCTTTGTCACATTAGAATCTCTTACTTCAATTTCCCTCCCAGGGCCAGTGCTAGCATAAATGTATTTGGTGCATTCATTCCAGATAGGCAAAAACTTAGACAACTATTGGAGAGGCATTTTCTGCTTTGCTGTTTGGAAGTGTTATAAACTTCAGGAGAGAGTAATTGGGATAATCCTTGGCACCATACAGACTGGCAGTGTTTAGAATAGCCTGGGATATTGACAGGAGCCATCACAGAAACCATTTCAAGGCCATGCACAATCTTTTCAGTTCATGAGGTCTCCGTTCTCACAGGCATGTGAGTATTCTGTAACAACAACAAAATTTAACTTACCTTAAAATAGGAGTTAATGAGAAATGCTTCATATAATTATCACAATAAAGTAGGTAATTTGATGAACTTGTTTTCTTACAAGATTAGTGTTTCTTTATAATCTCTTTAGAGCTGGTAACTTATTTTGGTTACCTGTATCTCATCTTTATTAAGACAACAATATTGTACCCATACTCTCCTAATTACGTGTAGTAACTTCTCACAAGTTTATGAGGTGCTTTTAACCTTAAAATATTTCACAGTCCTGGCATGGAGAAGTGAGACTGAAGTTGAAGGAGTTGCTCATTTTACCCTGTACACCCTGGGCTCTCCCACCTTTGCAACTTTGTTCAAGTTTTCCCCTTTTCTGGAATGACCTTGCTCTTCCTCCTTCTCTTTGGCTGTCTCCCAGCTGATAACTAAAATGCAATATGTTGCAGAGTAATTTACTCATATTCATAGTTCATTTGCCGTATATTATCTATATATTTATCTATGAATGCCACTTAATATTTAAGATAAGATTACTTAGAATAATAACTCCCCTTTCCTTCAGGATTAATTAGTTGTTTCAAGTGCTTGGTGCTTTATGTATGAAAAGCATACTAAAAATGTGTTGTCATTTTGTTATAATGGGAATGATTACCACATCAGTTAATATCACTTGTTTCATCCTTATTTTTTGTTATGTGGTTCTCAGGTTCAGAATTTAACATTACGCAGCCAGAAGTTGGGTGTATTATCTAGCTCTCAGAATGGTCCTCCAAAAAGCACTAGTCAAACTCAGTCATTGACAATTTGTCATAACAAAACAACAGTGACCAGCTCTAAAATCAGCCAACGAGATCCTTCTCCAGAAAGTAATAAGAAAGGAGAAAGTCCAAGTCTGGAATCACGAAGCACAGCTGTCACCCGGACATCAAGTATTCACCAGTTAATAGCACCAGGTGGGATAAAACTTTGTTGAAAATAGTTGCATTATTCATTTTCTTAGCAGGCAGAGCAAAACAAAAGATGTTCATTGCTGGAACAAGAATGATACTTTTAAAATATTTTAAAATGTGCATTTCTTAAGTTAAGAAAAAGAACATTTCAATATTGAAAAAAAATCAAAAGAGTCCAATAGCTAAGACAAATTACAATAATAAAATAGTGGTTTTTTTGGTCAGTCGACATTTGAATAACATCTTTATGTGCTGGTCTCTCATTATAGCAACAAAACTTTTTATTGCTTTGACAACAAGATTTGTCTGTAGCTTATTTAGTATGCTCTAGTTGTCATAGGTGAAAATTTATCACTTTCCAAAAATAAGAATTATGCATAATGATTTTCTTTACTACATTGCCTTTTTTCCATCTCTGATTTCGTCTCAGAAGAAGATGTTAGAGAATCAACTAAGTCATTTTCATTGTTGTTAATCTTTGAATTCCACGTGCACTTCGTCTGCTATTTACAGATAACCTTGTTACAGGGTTCTCATGCTGAAAATGCTGGGGCCATCCAGAGTGAGTTTCATTACTATCTCTTCTGTTCATCTCAGAATTTCTCAGTGTTGAGCTTTCTTCATGTCTAATAAGATAAGGAATTATCTGCCTTCTTTAAAGTTAGCACTATTTACTTTATCATCGATTGCATCTTTTTTTACCTTCTTATGATCTTCTCTTGTAGTTATTATTGTATCTTTTGTCTCCCTCATGCTGGATTTTTTCCTTTGCTTCTCAAGATTTAGGTCTCCCCTATTCTTAATATATCTGCACATATTTTAATACTAGTGTAATTATTGTTTATTGAAAGTATGTGTATGTGTGTTACGCACTGGGCTAGACACTTCACTTTTGTTTCATTAAAAAAAAAAATCCTCTTTTGATCCAACCTCATCAGGTAAGCATCTTCTTTCTATCCTTTTATAACTCTGCATTACTTTTAAGGATTCGTTTTACACTACCAGAGTCTGATTTTTCTCCACCTAAACCTATTTCTCTTTTCATGTTTCCTCTGTGCTAATATTGCTAACATTCTCTACATCACCCAGTCTCAAAATGTTGGAATAGTTTGATTCCCCTAGTTAGAAATCTCTCATTACTTTGAAGCTGTATAGCATTTTTATGCTCCTTTATAGTACTTTTTCTTTTATAGTTATTTATATACTAACTGATCTTAGCTTTTCTATTAGATAGTAAATTCTTTGAGGGTAGGATAGTAATATCGAGCACTTATGTGTCTGGCAGTTTACATTTATGAACTCTTGCAATCTTTCTTCACATTCACCTTTTCATCCTTTTATCTGGAGGGCACTGTTACCTTACATGTACTGATCTACAATAGGTGGACAGTAAATATTTATTGGATTAATAATTGATTTTTTTCCATATGAATTGTGGAAGTTATAGCACAGTTTTTTCCATTTTTACTAATTAGGTATCACTGCTTATGCTTAAACCTAGATTAAGTGCAGACTTTGTTATAATGTTTAAATTAATAAATTTATTCATAGTATAGTTAGATGTGAATTTTTTTATACACGTCTGTGTGCAAGATCCTACTCTCTCTGTGGCTTGACAACAGGATTTTTATACTGAATTATCCAGAGTATTCTTAGCCTCAAACCGGTCTCTGGCCAATGTTGATAGGGGTCAGTGAGGAGGCAGCAGTGACCTACTGTGCTTGGAATGACTGCTCATGGGACAGTTTTTAGTGATGCCCTAGTTTTCATAGATGATAAAGGAGGGTAAGTTAATTTCCTTGCAAAGGGAATACTGCCTTCAGAGAAAGCTAGGAAATCTTTTAGGGTTAGTTCAAGCAAGGGAGATCTATTTTCAGATTTTCGGTCTCCCTGAATTATCAATACCTGGTTCTAGTTGACACTTATTCTTCCCCCCTTTATTGATAGTGTGATAATTTCCCTTATTCTGATGGGAATATTTTATGTAGGTATGGAGGTGACCAGAAAGCTGAAACCATTAAAGAGTCTCAGGACAAATGCAATTCCAAATTCAGATCTTATGTGTATTAGCCAAAATCCAGTATTCCATGGTGTCGTTGATTAGAAACTAAACCAAATGGAACATCCTAAATCACATAAACTTTTGCAGCTATCAGAGTTATAAATTTGTTAAAATTCCTTCAAGCCTTATGCTACAGTTATTCAAAGCAACTTGTATTTTTTAGAAAGTCAAAAGCTATATTTTCCCACCCTTTTAGTTTTTCTGCTCTTGCTATTGGGAAGTTGTTTTGAAGCTATTTTTTTTGGAGATGTTCGAATTGATAATTTGTCCTTTTCCTCAGTTAGAGAAGCGCTTGATCCTACAGATCACTTTCAAATATTAAAAAATCTATTTGTGTTCTGATGTAATATTATAATGGACATGGTTATTGTTTCCTTGTATGTATTTCTAGGGTGCTTAAATCATTTTGTTTTATTCATTTCTTCTTGCAGGTGGCATTCCACTTGATAGTTAATAATTCTATTTTTAATATATAATGATAAACTTTAACCAGATGTCTAGAAATTATTATTTTAGAGCTCAAGTTTTTTATAGTACTTTTAGAGCTTTTATGAAATTAGTCTAGTTGGGAAAAACATAACACCATTTTTTGCAGATATTAATTCAGTGTGTAGTGAAAAGTCTACATTAGTTTACTCAGGCTGCCATTAAAAAATACCATAGACTGGGTAGTGTAAACAACAGAAATTTATTTTTTCACAGTTCTGGAGGCTGTAAAGTCTTAAGATCCAGGTCTAGCAGTGTTTGTTTTTTGGTGAGGGCTCTCTTCCTGGTTTGCAGATGGCTACCTTCTAGCTGTGTCCTCCCATGGCCTTTCATCTGAGTGCTAGGAGACAGGATAGCGAGCTCTCTGTTAACTCGTTTTATAATGGCACTAATTCTGCTAGGTCAGGGTCCCACTTTTTTTATTACTTTATTTAACTTTAATTACTTTCTTAAAGGATTTATTACCAAATATAGTCACATTAGGGCTTAGGGCTTCAGTATGAATTTTTGGGGACACAAACATTTAGTCCATAATAAGAACCCAGACTCAGGACTGTGAGTTCTTGAGATTTCACGCAAGTCACTTAATGCTCAGAGTTTCTTCACTTGTAGTACATTGGATTTGTGTAGTACCCTGTCTACCTCATGGGGTTGTTGTAACTATTAAATGAAATAATATATTTAATAGCTTACAATAATATATCTAATTATTTATAGAAATTAAAGAATTCTATTACATGTGTGAGAGATGATGCCAGTCATTAACTATCCAAATATAAGACCCCCGACAATAATAAAGTGTGTATTAAAATCAGAGAAGTAAACAAACATGATGATTCTCCAAAGCTCTAGGGCTCTTTTTATACAGAAATATTGTTTCAGATATCCTTATAATTATTTTGTAATATATGTGCTTGTCAGTTGGACTTATGGACTAATATATAATAGACTCACTTCGATTTCTGACCAAAGAAAAATTTCATCTTGGTAAAAGGATAAACTGTTAATCTATTGAATTATCAACTCTAGAATATAAAAAGATTGTTTACTTGCTAGAGCACAGAAAAAATTTTTATTCCTATGACTATAATATCCATTGTACTCCAAGAATATGTAAATTTTAATTATAACCTAAAGAGTTGAATTAAAGTGGGCCTTTGCTATTATAAATGGGAATAATAATATGTACCTACTCCTCGGGCATTTGTTTTTCATATGGGAGATGCGAGAGTACCTTGAGCCCCTTGAAAGAGAGGCTCTGTATAGAAATCCAAGATTTTATTGAATACTTTATATAGAGTCTTTATCAGTACATTTATAAAGTGCTGACATAAATTTTTAGTCTTAGTTTGAAGTACCAGGCTAGTTACATGAAAATTATTTTGTTAGATGGAATTTTAGATCTAAAATTCTTTTTTTCCTCATAATTCATGGATATTTATTGAACTTTCTAAATGCCTGTTTCTTAAGATGTTAACCAGATGTTAATTTCCTTAAAGGATCTCCAGAATTTTAAATATTAACTAACCAAAAGCAAAAATTTGGTTAGAAGTTGTTAGAAGTTTTTTATAAGGCTTTTGTCACAGTGTGGTTGAATATAAAAATAGATGCAAGACATTATAGCCTATCTTAACATTCTGAGATTAGGAGAAATTTTTGCCTTGTCTTTAGTTCTATTTTAAGAGTCTCATGCTGAGCTAGCCAGGCTTTAGATCTATTTTAAATGTGTATAATTTTTACATGATATTAATCCATTTTTTCAGTTTGTCTTCTAGTAAACTGAGTTTCTTCTTTTTTAAATTTATTTTCAGTTACAGTTAATATACAATATTATATTAGTTTGAGGTGTAAAACATACTGATTGTACATTTATATATAGTGAATCCAATTTACATTCTCATTCAGATAGAGAGGATTTCACCAGCATCTCTCTGTGTATAAACATACGCACCGATATGCAGGAGAGGCATAATGATGGAAATACTTGATTTTGCTAATTCTTACATATATTATCCCTGTTGTGAGTTGCTCCTCTGTGGAGAAATCTGGTACTATCATTTACAGATTACTCTAGGTTTTTTTGTTTGTTTTGTTGAGGGAGAGAAGTAAAACAAGCTCCTTTGTTTAGACAATATGGACTTCTGATTGCTTTACTCTCTCTGCAAGCAACTAGTGGTCTCCTGTATTTTGAAAGGCCCCTAAAATTTCATTTCTTAGTTATAGCGATTATTTGCCCATGCTCTAGAATTCACATATCTGTTTTGCTTAACTGAATTAACTTTTTATGCAAAACATTTTTTTCGTGAGTCAGGTAATACCAACTCTTCATCTTGGCTAAGTTTGGAAACTTATTTGAGAGGCTTTATAGTAATTACATTGACTAATTAGTTGGAAGAATGTTTAGACACAGATTAGAAAAGATAAGACCTTTATTCTATAGATTTTAATGTTGCATTTTTATGATTTCGAAGTTATCTTTATATTAAACTTGTTTAGTGATACTGCTCTCTTCACCAAAGAAAGAATTCAAGTGGATAAACTTTGTTAACAGTTAATGTATTATAGAAGTATACACTTGAAACCTATATAACTTTATTAACCAATGTCACCCCAATACATTTAATAAAATTTAAATTATTGAAAAAGTAAAAATTAATGCAGTTATTCTGGGGACCTATAAAATGTAATAAGAATTAATCATGCATAGATTCAGATTCATAAAGTGTTTTAGGTGATTTTCTTTTGGAACTTACCACAGTGTAACTTATTTTATGAAATCTTTATAGTTTTCTAAGGAAAAGTTGTTTGTCATATTTTAAGTCACTCTTGTCTGGAAGACTTTTAATAGATTTCTGATGTTTATAACCTTCTGATGTAAAAACTTTCCTCCTTTAGATTTAAAATTTTCTATGATATTTTTAAAATAAATACTAATTGTCATTTTTTTCTCTCACAGCTACATATCCTCCAATTCAGCCTCATCCTCTAATAAAACATCAGCAGATTCCTCTTCATTCACCACCTCCCAAGGTTTCCCATCATCAGCTGATACTACAGCAGCAGCAACAGCAAATTCAGCCAATCACACTCCAAAATCCAACTCAAGATCCACCCCCATCCCAGCACTGTATACCACTCCAAAACCATGGCCTCCCTCCTGCTCCCAGTAATGCCCAGTCACAGCATTGTTCACCAATTCAGAGTCATCCCCCTCCTTTAACAGTGTCGCCTAGCCAGTCACAGTCGGCACAGCAGTCTGTAGTGGTGTCTCCTCCACCACCTCATTCACCAAGTCAGTCTCCTACTATAATTATTCATCCACAAGCACTTATTCAACCACACCCTCTTGTGTCATCAGCTCTCCAGCCAGGGCCAAACTTGCAGCAGTCCACTGCTAATCAGGTGCAACCCACAGCACAGCTGAATCTTCCATCCCATCTTTCACTTCCAGCTTCCCCTGTTGTACACATTGGCCCAGTTCAGCAGTCTGCCTTAGTGTCCCCAGGTCAGCAGATTGTGTCTCCAGCATCACACCAGCAATATTCAACCCTGCAGTCCTCTCCAATCCCAATTGCAACCCCTCCACAGATGTCAACATCTCCTCCAGCTCAGATTCCACCACTGCCCTTGCAGTCTATGCAGTCTTTACAAGTGCAGCCTGAAATTCTGTCCCAGGGCCAGGTTTTGGTGCAGAATGCTTTGGTGTCAGAAGAGGAGCTTCCAGCTGCAGAAGCTTTGGTCCAGTTGCCATTTCAGACTCTTCCTCCTCCACAGACTGTTGCGGTAAACCTACAAGTACAACCGCCAGCACCTGTTGATCCACCAGTGGTAAGCCCTTGGAAGCTCTTTGACTTTCTTGCTGTATTGAAAGTAAAAACGATTTTCTCCCACATTGTGTTATATCGCTAGATCTACATGCCTATGAATTTAAAAAGCTTGAAATTTCCATCTGTCAGTGTCTGACAAACTTGTTGTATGGAAAGAAAAAAAATTTGCTGTTTGTTGTAGTGTGGTTGCATGCTTGATAATTTGTGATGGTTATTAAAGTCCCTCGTTAATTTATTACTATTTAAACAAATCCATCTGCTATCTTTACAGAGTTGATTTTTTTTCCCCAAGGGAATGCATTTGAACCAGTGTCATCTGCACAAAGTTTTTTCTCTTAAGGTGATTATCCTTCATAGATCCCTTCTGTTGGCTTGTATGTTCTTAAACGTATGGTTTATCTAGCTAACCTTTTTTTGGTGGTATGCATTCTGAAGGCCTGGGCCATTAAGGGCTTTTGTTTCAAGGTGGAGTTATGCTTGTATGATGTACATTTTTGGTAAAATTATATTTTATAATTAAAATTTTGTAAAAACATTTATTCTAGGAAAGAATCCGACTTTGCCAAAACATTAACTCTAAACCATCTTTTAGAATTATTCAACTTATGATTTAAATTTCTTCTCAGGGAAAATACGTACTTAAAATATCTCTCATTTAAAAAGCTAAAAAGAATCTCAGTGGATGAATTGAATACTGAGGATGAAAAAAATCCATTGGGAGGAGTAAAAGTTTTGAAAAATTTAGATTGTGATGAAATTTACCAGAATAAACCTCTAAAAATGGTACATGTTGCCTAAAATGAAAAATGTTTTTCTTCAAACATTCTCTAAAGCACTTTTATAATTTATAAAACAATTTACAGTAAAAATTAAATAAGGTCTCTAAATGTTTAAGAATGATTAAATTCATAATTAATTTATAACTTATGAAAACAGTTCCCAAAGAAGTTTTATATCAAACCTCACTGAAGAGATTTTATTACTTAAAGACTAATAACCATTAGCCCAGAAAAGAAGGGAGTTTCAAAGTCTATTCTTTAATGGGAAACATTTTGGTTCTCAGGATGCAGATTTATAAATTCTTTATTCTCGTCATTCAGACTGGCCTTAATAGGCGTAAAGAGGATTGAATTCCACTTCCTATTCACTTTTATTAAAAACAGAACTTGACAAAAAAAATAACGGGCATCTAGAAATAAGTTTGTCATTCAATTATCATGTCTCTGTATTTTCTTTTAATAGAGTTTCAAAGAGTTTACAGTGGATATTATAACATAAAAACACAGGCTTCAAAGTGTACAGTACCTTCAAAGAATCAAATTAAATTTATATTCTCACTTTCTAGTTCAGTGAATTGGTTTTTAACAAGAATAAAATTTCTCTGTATGCCTTGTTTTTCTAATTGTTTTTGTTAGGGTAAACTTTGAAGGAACATATTTGAAATAGAAATATCAAAACAATTAAATGAAAGCTAAAAATATTTATAGTCTTATTTTGTTACTTCCTGTCATCTCTTAAAAATTTTTTAAAAAAATTTGTCACCCCAGTTTTGGAAGTTTTTTTTTTTCCATAAAAATAACTTTAGGTTCTCTTACTGGTATGGTCATACTTGCTATCAGTGTTTTCATGTTATATTTCTTTTACTTTTCTTTGAATATCAAAGCCTATTTATTAAATTGTTATCTTTTTCTTTTATCACCTTTGATCAAATCTGTTTGTTTTTTTATCAAATGACATTTTATGAATTACACATTTCTTCATAGTTCCCTGGTTTTCTCAGATATTTAAAATATAGAGATATATTTACTTAAGAGATGTGAAAATTTGAAAAATAAGTGTGAATTATCAAAGTAAAATCAATTGTGTTTTTTAAAAAGATATATCTATAAAACTAAGATTTTTCATTGACATTTAGGTGTGATAAGATTTGGTGAGAGTAGATCATTTAGAACTAATGTTCCATGGTTTATTTAAGAAAAGGAGACAGATGGGACTCATATACTTTATTGAGGTAGATTTGTCAGGCATTCTAGTTTTAGAGTAGTTGTAGTTATGAGCTAAACAAAAATTGTGATGTGCAGTTTTCTGATGATCTTGTAAGCTAAATCTCTACTTCTTTGCTTTATTTAATATTTTAGTTGTTGCAATTTAGGTTTTTTTTTTAACCTGATGATGCTGTCTGTGACAGATCTATTTTTGCCTACTTTTATTCATTAACTTATTTTGTCTTTACATGGGAGATTTGGAAGAAAGTGTGTGTAGTTAGGTTTAACTATAAAGAATGAAAAGTATTCTACAGTATTCTTTGATGGATTTTTTCAGAATATGCTATTTGTGTTATGCTTCACATTATTTTTTAAAAATCAGAATTTTATGCATGATCAGACTTTGATTCCTTAAAAGGTACTGTAGTAGGTGTTTGAAAAACTTGAGACAACATTAATATTAAAGAGAGTTTCAGCATTTTTAAAAGAGATAATGATCTTTGGAAGGAAAGTAATATCTAAAAAAAATGCTACACCTACACAATTGAACTGGTTGATCAATCCATACTTGTCTAATTACCTCTGAATCAGAATTCCCACCACTCCCTTAAATTAAAATAATCAGTACTACAGTGGATGCCTCTCACTAGAAGGTCTTTTTTTCCCCTTTAACCTCCAGAACGTTTTTTTGGATGACTTTCCCTATATTGGACGTTATCATTTTAAAAGAGTTATCATGAACAGATATTAGCAGTCATTGTTGCATTGTGCAATAACAAACAACTACTTTCACTTCTGGAGATCCAGACATAAAGCAAGAAATCTCTTGGTGAAACAGGCTTCCAATGTTCCAATGCAGGGTTATGAACAAATAGTTTTTAAAATGTTGTCTACTTAGTAGCTAATCCAGATCACAGTTCTGGATATTATATTTGATATAAAATTATCAGTAACAATGAGACTTAAAAATTTTTTAAAAAGCAAAAGAAAAGATTTCTTAGTAGAGGTTTAGAAAGTTAGGAATTTTTTTTTTTTAATTTTCGCTGTTGTTGGATATGCCTTTGTAGATGAAGTAGTAGTCCTTTTTATAACATGGTTTATGCTAGTTTCAGAAATCTTGACATTTTTCTATTTGATTACATATACATCAAATCATCTAACTTTTTCAATTAAAAATACACAATATTAGATATCACTTAAAGTGTTTTGAAAGTTTGTTGAAAGGTTTTTTGTTTTAACATTTATTAGAAACATTAATCAGTTTGGGTAAGTAATCTTAAGAACTCACAACCTTCGTAAATTTAAGTAATCTTTATACATAAAAAGAAGGGAGGTGAATTGCTTTGTGGCTTTTTTTTTTGTAAACTGTCATCTTTCAAAAATAATGGTTAAATAATGATAATCTAATGAAATATTAATAAGTTATTTTTAGTTATGAGGTTCCTACTCAGAGTGCTTTTGAGTCCATGTTTTCTTTTTAAGTATAATCTTTACCATTGGATAACAAGGTAATTAAGTTAAAGACTTAAAAACTTTCTTCTATAAGTATGGAACAATATTAAAGAACTAAAATTAGTGTCTCAAATGGTTTAGGATGAGATGTGTGTGTGTATGTGTGGATTATTTCAAGGATAGATATTGTCTATTTACTTGATATTAGCTTATAAAAAATCATTAGATTCTTGAGTAGATCAGAAGATTAAAGAAAAGATGTAAAGATATAATTGCTTATATACCTTTTTTGTAGGTACTCAGACATTACTTTTCATAATTTAATCTTTAATTCACATAAATATAATAAAGAGCTTGGGATGTATTCCTTTAGTCGGTATATTTCCTGATATGTTGTGTGTCATTTTGGAGATTTACTTAATGTGCTTGTGAAAAATAGCATCTATTTTGATTTATGATCATTAGAAATTAACAGAAACAATAGTAAATTCCCAGAGTACATAAAATCAAAATATTTCTTTTAATTCACAAAATTAAAAGTATGGCTTGACTTGACTCACCTTTTTGGAAAGCTTTAGTGAGTTGTAGCCTAGATACTGATCTGCAACTTACTTTTAGTAAAATATCATCAAGTATTAGGAAAACTTCATTTGAGTGAATTTAAAAGTTTTGTTTTCAACCTGTCATATAGTCTTTTTGCCTTGTTTTTAAGTTTAAAACACTTAGAATTTATTTTTTTAAAATTAAGTTAGGAACACCTTATTAAATGTATTTTTAGAAACATTTTAAGGTGGTGTGGTTTGTCATTTGCAGGTCTATCAAGTAGAAGATGTGTGTGAGGAAGAAATGCCAGAAGAGTCAGACGAATGTGTCCGGATGGACAGAACCCCACCACCACCCACATTGTCTCCAGCAGCTATAACTGTGGGGAGAGGAGAAGAGTTGACTTCCGAACATCCTTTGTTAGGTGAGGGAATATCTAAGTTGAGGGGAATTTTTATTGGGTAAATGTTAATAATCAGGAAGTTTTTTTTTTCATGAGAGATGGTATTAAACTAATTTGTTATGTAATTAATTGCAGGAAAGCATACATTAGAATTCAAGATTTTTTTTTGATGAGGGACAATTAGAACAATTAATGAGGAACCACCCAAATGAAAAAAACATCATAGCCTTCTAATTTTTAGTGGTTTGTACAGATGTGTTTTATATGCCCATTCAGATTCATGTGTCAAGCTATTTCTAGCTTACAAATTGGAATAAATCAACATTCTATCAAAAGATTTCAGTTATACTTTCCAAAATCACAGAGCGTTCTAAGTCATATCTGACATTCTTAATAATTGCTTGCGATCCAGACTGAGTAAATGCTTTTCAGAGTGTTCTTTCCCAGACAGTACTTAAATTAAACCTCATTAATTCTTAGTGGAGACATGGATTAAAAAATTCTTGAGCGTAAAGCATTCAAATTCATATTCAGTACTTCAGTGCTACTTTTTAGTTCAAGTAAATCTTTTATATGCTCCTCCTTACAATATCAAAGTGACCGAATCCTAGATATTTTACTAAAACATCAGTATGACCTATCGCCCAGTGTCGGGGTCCTAAAAAAGGATACATTCTGTGTTAGGTTTTTGTTTTTTTTTCCTGTCAATAATTCATTTAGGTGATAAAGTAGCTCACACTTTAAATCTTTTCTGCTGCCAGTTTTAGTATGGCCCATGAGCTGTGGATGGTTTTAAATTTTTTAAATGGTTGGAAAAAAGTAACATGTCATGTGAAAATTATATAAAGTATAAATATCATTGTTCTTTAATAAAGTTTTTCACAACACATCCATGTTCATTTGTTCAAATATTACCTATGGCTGCTTTTTTTACTACTGCAGCAAAGATGTGTAGTTGCAGAGATGATATTGTCTTTTATAGAAAGTTTATAGACCCCTGCTCCTGCTAATAATAATGTTAGTTCAGGCTTTGTTGTAAATATTCTGTTTTTTTGAATATCTCTTGCCCCTTGTGATCATTCCAGGTAAGAAGAACCACTGTAACAGGCATGGAAACAAATTGTAGTGTGACAGTGACTTTGCTACCAAAGCAACACTTGCCCTCTTTTCTTCAGTATGCCACATCACTAACCCTTCGGTTCTCTTCAGCTTTTATTCCCTTACTACCATTGTGAATCTCTGGAAAGCATAGAAGGGGAGAAATCAATTTTCTTCCAATTTTTTCCCCTCCTGAAAAATAGAAAATATTTAGTCAATAAAATTATATAAAATGTTTAAGACAAGTTTTTGCCTTTGCTTATTCAAAGTAATACTTCAAAAGAGATTTTAAAAAATCTATAGTATGAAATCTTTGTAGTTTCTGTACACTAGAAATGAATTTATGTTGTTGCAGATTTTCTGGAATTTTGATTTAAAGACAAATAGCAGATTACAGTAATTGGATACTAACCTTGCGTTATGACTTTAAATACCCAATGAGCATTACTAATGGTACTCAAAGGAAATTTAAACATTTTTGAAATACCGAAACACAAGAATGTCTTCACATTTTTTTCCTCTCAGGGTATAGTCCGATATCCTGTCAAGCATATCCATCTGGCTAAACTGTCTAAGTACAATGTAGACTTGAGTCTTCCTGTAACTTCATACTTGTTACTCTCCTGTTGTATTTAAGTGGGAAAAACAGGAAGGTTGATATTTAGAATAACTCATCAAATCATGAGATAAACTAATGTGCAAAAATTGAGGGACTATTTCCATCTAGGATTCAGTTTTCATAAATCTCTGCTCTTTTAAAATTTTTCTCAGATATCTGTACTCATTGATATTCTCAGCTATCAGCTAGTTCTGTATTTCCACTTAAAGGTTTGGTGCTATTGAATGGATAGGTAAAGTCTGCATCACAGGCTGCCGGGTCTTATCTTATTGTGGTCCTCAAGAGTTTGAGGAGGAGGTATCACAGTGATTTAGCTCAACATTTTGCAATTGCCTGGTACTGCAGTGTTCTCCCTGACATATATAGTACCATTGAAGAGTTGTAAAAAAGACCTCAAAGAACATTCGTACATGGATTTGGATTAGCCTTACTGCTTGAAATACAGGTGATGTGACCTGTGTAGTTCATTAAAATCTCTATTTATTCTTTGGATTTCATGATCTTTTTTTTATCTAAGCATATTTTCAAAGTATCACTCCTCTCCCCGCCATTTGGAATATATAAACAAGAACATAGGAAATTTAATACCCGTGTAGCTTAAAAATTCTTTTAACGCAACAATTTCAATAATTATTTCTAAACTGACATTCTAGAACATATTCATGTCTTATGAGACTGTTCTAACCATGGTTGAAATGACAACTGAGCAAGTTATTTCTTCTTCTGTAAAGTGAGGATAATAGTAGTTTTTATCTCATAAAGTCATTGTGCAGCTTAAATGCAGTCATAAATAAAAAGTTTTTAGAATGGTTTTTTAAAGCACCAGAAATTAACTATTGTTGTTATTAATGATTATTCTTGAATTTTCTTTCATATCTGCCTGAACAGAATGCTAAAGATTAAAAAATTGATGTTTTTTTTTTTCAGAGCAAGTGGAATTACCTGCTGTGGCATCAGTCAGTGCTTCAGTAATTAAATCTCCTTCAGATCCTTCACATGTTTCTGTTCCTGCTCCTCCACTCTTACTTCCAGCTGCTACTTCAAGAAGTAATAGTACATCTATGCCCAGTAGTATTCCCAATATAGAAAACAGACCTCCACAGGCCATTGTTAAACCACAGATCTTGACCCATGTTATTGAAGGTTTTGTGATTCAGGAAGGATTGGAGCCATTTCCTGTAAGTAACAAGCAAATTTATATTTTTAAAATTATTCATGTAGCATTATTTAAAATTTAGTCTATTATTGCTCTCTAATAAGAAGCTTATAGTTTTATTTCAAAAAAGTTGTCATTCTTTTATCTAGAATTTATGTCACCTTTATGTGTTCCTAATATATTTCTGGAATTTTATGCTAGCTATTTAGATAAACTAAGGAGAAAGTTTTCATGCTATAAGGATATCAGTTTTATAATTTTTATAGAAAGGTAGTTGGAAGTTTACTCCAATGAAATAAACTTTTCTATTTTTTCTTCTTAGGGGACTGAAATGACACCTAGGTATATTTTTCTTTAAATGGTATTTCTTGTATAATGTGATACTTTGGAAACTTTAACTTGAGTACAGAAAATAATAACTTTCCAGTGATCTAATACTTCTGTGTTACCCAGTTGATGGTTTATAATTATCAAATAGTAGATTTTTTCATTATTCTTAAATCTCAGCCTTCAGTCAGACTTTTAAATGCTTTAAAATGTTCACCTCAAAATGAAGGTACCTTATCTATCACTAAAAAGTCTTATAATTTGAGAGTAGCTATATATAATTTATATGCTAATATCTGGAGATAAAACATTTTTCCTTAGAAAATAAAGACAAGTGGCCAAAATCAAAGAAAACAAAATAGTTATTTTTTTTATTAAGTTTATTGGGGTAATATTGGTTAATTATATACAATTATGTAATTTTCAGGTGTACATCATAATTTGACATCTGTATATTCTATTGTGTGTTTTCCACCCAAAGTCCAGTTTCCTTCAGCTAGTATGTATTTGATCTTTGATCTCCTTTACCCACTCACCCTACAAAATATTTTATTTTGAAGTCCTTTGAATTGTCTGACTTTTCAGATTTATGGGTAGTGAAGATATTGCATTGTGATAGTTGGTTGCTTATATCTTCAGTTTACTATGTGTGTATTAAACTTGGATCCCCTATAAGAATCCTGATTTACTGAGTGGAGGAAGTCTTTTCTCCCTAGTCCTCAGTGTTTGGATCCTGGCTCTGAATTTATCAAGTCACTTAGTCTTTTTGATCTTCATTTTGCTCATCTAGCAAATGGAGATTAATACTTTGCTCTTAGGATTGTTATAAGGATTAAATATGCATAAATTGTTCTATGTAGTACCGGGCACTTAATAGCCAGAGCTATTATTATCAGTTATTACTAGTGACAATTACAGTTTTGGGTTTTTTTTAGATTATAAAAGTAATACGTATTTTTTTTTAAATGGAAAATTTGGGAAATGTACAGAAAAATCTCCATTAATAACCATGATGTATATATTTATATGTTTTCATATGATCAAGATTATTATTTTATATAGTTCTGCTTTCACTTAGTATAACTTGAGCATTTATTTTCTCATGATTAATAGTACTTTGGAAACATTTTGAATAACTATGTTTCACTTTATGCACAAACATAATTTACATAATTCTTCATTATTGTTGGACATTTAGGTTTCCACTTTTTCACTATTCAAGTAGTCCTGAAAAGAATATCTTTGTACATAAATTGTCCACATTTTTAATAATTTCTTTAGTATAAATTCCTAGAAATGCAAGTATTGAATCACATTACATATGTATTCTTAAGATTCAATATATCGTACTAAATTATTTTCTGAAAAGATTATTTAAATTTATTCACATACCAGAAGTCGATCCCTTTAGCAGCACTTAACTTTACAGTTTTTTTTCAGCAGTAACTTATAAATTTTACCTGAGGCATATTAAATATACTAACTGAACAAAATTTAGAAGTTTATGGATGATTATTCTCTCAGGTTAAATGTAGCAATTTCCAGTAAGCTATTGTTCACCACATGTGGCAGATACTGGAGACTTAACCAGAATTCTTAAATAGAATTAGAGGTTCTATTTTTTTCAGATTAACTGAGGGTTCACTAGTGAATCAGTAAATATTTTTGGTCTGGATTGTTTTTGTTGAAAACATTTCTAAAATAACTATTACTTATGACTTAACCAAGTATACTGAACATAAGTGAATTTTTTTGTTGTTGATTTTAATGTTGATGTTTGCAGATTTTTCCATTTCTTTTTGTGATTACAGTGGATTTGGTTGCTGAACTAGGAATCAGGAGACATGAGTTCTAGTCTTTCAGTTTTTATAAAGAAATCACCTAAACATTTTGAATATTAGTTCCTATATATTTATTTATATTTAGTTATAGTTGGTATACAATATTATATTAGTTTCAGGTGTATAATATCGTGATTTGACATTTATGTACCCTTACTTGTATGATCACCACACTAAGTCTAGCAATCATTTGTCACTCTGCAAAGTTATCCCAATATTATTGACTATATTCCTGTTCACCTTTTTCACCCATCCACCTCCCCCCACCTCTGACAGCCATCAGTTTGATTTCTGTTTGGGTGTCTGTTTTTTCTTTGTTTTATTTTGGTGTTTTTTTATTTTTATTTTAGATTACACATATAAGTGAAGTCATATGATCTTTCTCTGATTTATTTCACTTAACATAATACCCTCTAGGTCTATCCATGTCATTGCAAAGGGCAAGATTTAATTATTTTTTATAGCTGAGTAATATTTCATTGTTTATATATACCACATTTTCTTTATCCATTCATTTATTGATAGATAACCTTTTGCTTCCATATCTTGGCTATTTTAAGTAATACTGCATTGAACATAGGTGTGCATATATCTTTTCAAATTAGAGTTTTGGATTTCTTTGTATAATACCCAGAAGTGGAATTGCTGAGTGGTATGGTAGTTCTAGTTGTAGTTTTTTGAGGAACCTCCATACTCTTTTTCCATTGTGGCTGTACCAATTTACAGTTCCACCAACAGTGCACAAGGGTTCCCTTCTCTTTACATCCTCACCAATACATGTTACTGTTGACTTATTGATAATAACCATTCTGACTGGTATGAGGTGGTATCTCATTGTGGTTTTGATTTGCATTTCCCTGATGATTGATGATGTTGAGACTCTTTTCTTACGTTTGTTGGCCATCTGTATATCTTTAGAGAAATGTCTGTTCATGTCCTCTATTCATTTTTTGCCCTTATCTTTAAAATATACATAATAATGATCTATTCTGAGGAGATAACCCTACAAATAAAAAGCTATGTACATGAAAAATAAATCTTAAAAAAGTCATTGCAGAAAAAAAATTAAGGATACTGGGCAATCAAAATTTATAACTGATTTTTAAAGACTTTTCTTAACTGCTTGCTTAAACTAGGATGCTAGGTTCCATTAGACGGAGATTTTGAAGTATCCATATTGCTGATGATCTGAAATATAAAGTGTCTATGTCCAGATTGCCTAACCTTTTCTCAAGGAGTAAAAAGCTTAATGAATGGATCTGATCAGTTGAACAAGTAAATTATCACATCCCATTCTTTTCAAGGGGTTTTTTAAAACCAACTTATTTCTGAAAGTCTTAAAAGATTATTTGATTTTATTCTTTTTCTTTTGAAGGTGAGTCGTTCATCTTTGCTAATAGAACAGCCTGTGAAAAAAAGGCCTCTTTTGGATAATCAGGTGATAAATTCTGTGTGTGTTCAGCCAGAGCTACAGAATAATACAAAGCATGCAGATAATTCATCTGACACAGAGATGGAAGACATGATTGCTGAAGGTTTGTGGATTTTTATTCCTCGCAGATTTTTCACTTGGAAATATTCACTTTTATTCTCATATAATGCATTATTTGACTAAAATAATGGGAAATCTAACCAGACTCTTAATGGCCAAATAATCAAAATAGCAAGATTGGTATTAATTTG